AGACATTTTCTGAAGAAGGGTCTAGGCCCGAAATGTCAGCTTTCCTGCTCCTCTGATGCTGCTTGGCCTACTGTGTTCATCCAGCTCTACACCTTGTTATCTCAGATTCTCCAGCATCTGCCGTTCCTACTATCTCTGTAGAGGGATAGAACTAGGTTACGTGATTGGGCAAATATTTGATAGATGCCATGAAATATGAAAACGTGAATTTGTTTACTTTGGCAGCAAGGCTATAAAAACACCATATGTTTCAAATGGAGAGAGATTGCAGAGCTCTATGAGGAACAGTGGGATCTTGCCGTTCAAGTACATGAATCACAGCAAGTTTGCATAGAGATATGGCAAAATGATAGGAAGGCTAATGGAATGTTGTCATTTATTGCAAGGGGAATGGAACGTAAAAGTAGGGACGTTTTGATACAGAACATCTGGAACACTTCATATAGTATTTACATTTTTAAAAAATTGGAAGCAGTTCTGAGTAACTGGAATGGAGGGTTATCTTATGAGAAAAGACTGGATAGACTGAATTTGTATCTGTTGGAATGTACAAGAGTAAGTGTCAATCTTATTGAATAATCAAAGATTTTGAGGGAACATATTGGAGTGAATGTTCCCCTTGTGCGAGAGACTGGAAAATAGGGAACGCGGTTTTAAAATTAGAGGCTACCCATTTAATATGTAGAAGTTTTTTTTGCTCTTATACGGTCTTGAATCTTTGTAATTCTCTTCACCAGAGAACAGAGGAGGCAGGGTCATTTTTAATCTGGAGGTAGATAGATTCTCTTGCTTATTAAGAATCTAAGGGAATCAATGGTCGGTAAGAAAGTGGAGTTGAGGCTACAGAAATGATCTTACTAAATGGCTTGTAGGAAACAAATGGCTGGCTCCTGCTCCTAATTTGTATGTTTATATTCACATAAAACTTTGTTTTCTGTATCCTACCACTAAATACCATTCTCCCATTATTCTCCTGCTCACTTTTCATATTGGTTCATTGTTTGACAATGCTGTGATTTTAGAATTCTTACCGTCGTTTTAAAATCCAACCGTAATCTGCCCCCTCCGTGTATTTACCTTACACCTGCACAATTATGCGACCTTGTTCTCCTTCTTATGGGCCAACTGTTCATCTCTGATTTTAATCCACTGCTTTCCCCCTCCCCTGCCAAAACACCTCTGATCTACTCGCCTCCTTTAGTACTCTCATTAAAATCAGCTAGTATATTTCAACCTGCGCGGCATCTTCTCTGGTTGTGTCCACCAGATCTGTGACAGACCTTTGTAAGACCTCAGATTGGACTTAAGATTGAGTACATATTACCGTTGGCTTGCAACATAGAACACAACTGGTTAGCTTCTCCCAGAGACAGTCCTTTTTATCTCAATGAATGGAGCTTGTCTCCTGATATCAGTGAGCCCATTCAGGTTCTAACTGTCTTATACAATATCTCACGCCGACATTTTTTTCTGTTTTTCTAAAAAATATAAGTAAGTTTACCACTACTACCATCTCCCTCCAAGTCTCTGATTTCATAAATGGCTGGTACCTACCTGAGTTGGAAGTCTGCTTGTGGTGAAGTTTATTGCTTCATTGGAACCTTGCTGGATTGGATTTCTCAAGTGTCCTTTGTAGGGAACATGTTCTGGCATCAATGTCACTATTGAACATCAATCTCTCTTGGACGAACTTTAGTTTTCCAAAATCAGATCAGAAAAAAAATGGCTGTTTCTAAAAATAATTTTCTTGTTTTGACATTGTAACGATGTAGACTCAGATTTGATCCGTCTCACACAGACTCTTCCAGAAAAGAGATAACACAGTGTGGAGCTGGAGGAACACGGCAGGCCAGGCAGCATCAGAGGGGCAGGAAAGTTGACATGGTGGATCGGGACCCTTCCAGGAAAGAATTGTTTTATCAGATTCAGTAGGAGTAAAACTGATAGTGATGAAAACTGTGGATGCTGTAAATCAGAGACAAAAAGAGAAATTGCTGGAAAAACAATTCTGAGGAAGGTCACTTGACCCGAAATGTTAAAACTGATAGTGATGTTTGGTCCTGGTTTTCCTAAATAGCAGAATTTACTTTATCAATAGTCTATTCCTAACTCCTGGTGATTGTGGTGTTAAGAATGCCTGATGATCAGATATTAAGATTTATCTCTGGAAGACAATTGAATAATTCCTGCAAACCTATGAAATTGGTGGTATCTTCTGATCTTTCAGTTATGGAGAGTTGTTGTAGATCAACATAATTAATCCTGAGTGCTGTATATTTCCCACTAGGTTCAGTGAACCTTCTCCTGGACCGATGAAGTCTTCCTCCTCCATTGTTAATAAAATTATGTTGGTCACTAGTATTTGGCTTTGTGACCTGCTTGTTCAACATAGTGTAGAATTTTGTGAGTGAAGCATACTCTTTTGCTCAAATGAGAAGTTTTGATTTATGATGATGTACACCTATTGCACATGGCACTATTTCTGAACTTTAAAACTACTCTCAAGATCTATTTGCTCTGGAGCAGCATTCTGCCTGCATCAGGCAGTTCTGTGTCAGAAGGATATAGTTTCATTTCATTCAACCAAATGGTGATTTTAGATAATATTGTAACACTCACCCAGAGTCAAATTTGAAATTAGTTGGAAGATCATTAACCTGATGTGTATATCATATCTGGTTTGATAAGTCATCTATTAACACCAGGCAAGGTCAAGTAGCATCTTCTCAGGGTGGTAAATAATAAAAAGATATATGTTTCAATGAGGAATATCTTGGCAGTTTGGGTTTTCTTCCAAAGATGCTTGCTGTCAAATGCTCATGACAATCTGCGAGTAAATATTATTAATTCATTGGTTCAAAGATTGTTTTTGACATTTTTATACACTTTAGAATTGTCCAAATTTCCTACAGAAGTTGTATTGGTTTGATAAAGTCTAACAATGGACATTCTTTTTCATTGTGTGTCTTTTTTAACTCTGTGTCTGGAATAATGAGTGCCAGCATCAAAGATGTTTTGTGTGGTCAATGCATTGAGTATAGGAGTTGGGAGGTCATGTTGCAGCTGTAGAGGACATTGATTAGGGCACAAAAACAGAAGTTGCTGGAAAAGCTCAGCAGGCCTGGTAGCATCTGTGAAGAAAAGATCTGAGTTAATGTTTCGGGTCTGGTGACCCTTCCTCAGAACTCCTCAGAACTTACAGCATCTGCAGTGCTTTCGGTTTTTATTGATTAGGCCACTATTGGAATACTGCAGGCAATTCTGGTCTCTTTGCTATAGAAAGGATGTTATGAAACTTGAAACAGTTCAGGAAAGATGTACAAGGATGTTGCCAGGGTTGGAGGGTTTGAGCTATAGGGAGAGGCTGAATAGATTGGGGCTATTTTCCCTGGAGCATCAGAGGCTGAAAGTGACCTTATAGAGGCTTAGAAAATCATGAGCGACATGGATAGGGTAAATGGACAAGATCTTTTCCCCACGGTTGAGGGGAGTCCAAAACTAGAGGACATAGGTTTAAGCTGAGAGGGGAAAGATATAAAAGGGACCTAAGGGGCAACTTTTTCACGCAGAGGATAGTGCGTGTATGGAATGAGCTGCCAGAAGAAGTGGTGGACATTGGTACAATTACAACATTTAAAAAACATCTGGTTGGGTATATTAATAGGAGGGGTTTAAGAGGGATATAGGCCAAATGTTGGCAAATGGGACTAGATTTATTTGGGATATCTGGTCAGCATGAACAAGTTGGACCAAAGGGTCTGTTTCTGTGCTGTATATCTTTATGACTTTTCTCTTTAGAATGAGGAAGGATGAGAGGTGACTTGATATAGGTGTACAAAATGATCAGAGGTATAGATAGAGTGGACAGCCAGAGACTTTTTCCTAGGGTGGAGGGGGCTATTATGAGGGGGCATAGTTTTAAATGAGTGGAGGTAGATATAGGGGAGACGTCAGAGGTAGGTTCTTTACTCAGAGAGTGGTAGGGGTGTGGAATGCATTGCCGGAGAGGGTAGTGGAGCCGGCCTCATTAGGGGCATTTAAGCGGCTATTAGATAGGCATATGGATGATAGCATAAGGTAGGGGTGGAGGTTAGATATACCTTAGGTTTAGGGTAAAAGTTCGGCACAACATCATGGGCCAAAGCGTCTGTACTATGCTGTACTGTTCTATGTTCAATGACTCTATGATCTGTCACGTGTACTTTTGTTCTTGTACCTTACAAAGTTGACAAAGTATAATAATCTTCCAGAGCTAGGTTGGCTTTCCAATCCCATCATTCTCTTGTGCTGTTTGCAGATTTCAGCTTCTATGGCTATCTAGATAGTTCTTTCCTGAGTTTTTTTTATTGCAACATACCTGAGCGAAATACGTGAAGTTCCAACAAAAAATTTGTCTCAAATCAGTGTTTGCAAATTTCCATAATCTCAAAATCTGACGTTGTATAAAGATCATTAATAAAGTTGTTGACAGATTCTCCAGGAAGCTGCATTTTTCAATTAAATCTTGCTTTCTCCATTATATAATTAGCACTTAAAGTCATTGTCAAATGCTCTGACAATATTAAAGGGATCAGTCTTTTGATTTACATTCTGCCCTATTGGGTGGCTCCGTAGCTCAGTGGTTAGTACTGCTGCCTCACAGCACCAGGAACCCATGTTTGATACTAGCCTTGGGCAACTGTCTGTGTGGAGTTTGTGTGTTCTCCCTGTGTCCGTGTGGGTTTCCTCTGGGTGCTCCAGTTTCATTCCACAGTCCAAAGATGTGCACGTTGCATGGATTGGCCACAGGAAATTGTCCGTAGTATCCAGAATGTGCAGGCTAGGTGGATTAACTATGAGAAATACAGGGGTAGAGTGGGTCTAGGTCATTGCTCTTCAGAGAGTTGGTGTGCACTGGATGGGCTGAATGGTCTGCATCCACACTGTAGGGATTCTACGAAATCTCAGTTTACCTATATTTTAAAATGTGATCGGTCCCTGGACCTACAGAATAAAGAGATGTTAAATAAAAACCGAAAGAACGGCAGATGCTGTAAAACAAACAAAAACCGAAATTGCTGGAAAAGCTCAGCAGGTCTGGCAGCATTTGTTCTGAGAAAGTGTCACTCAATCTGAAACGTTAACTCTGATTTCTCTCCACAAATGCTACCAGACCTGCTGAGCTTTTCCAGCAATTCCTGTTTTTGTTTGTGAATAAAGAGATGCATTCATTTGTTCTTCTCTGGGCTTTTTCAGTAATCCTGACGCCATTCGTATCTCATGAAATATCTCTTCCATGTAGTTCAGTTTAATTCCCTGTCTTATGTAACTGTACTTTAAATCTATTTGGAGGCATGATGTCTTTCTCCAATGTCACTGTATTCAACTACTGTTACTTCTCTTTCTTAAGTGGCTTACCTGAATGTTAGTTTTTTTTTGTATATGCAGTTGGATTTGTTTATCAGTGTTTTAAATAGTCCAATCACTTCAATGAAATACAATATTAAGTTCCTTCAGCAAGTGTTTTTTAAGTAGCGTAATGATCGTTTTTAATTACTAGGTAATGAAGTTGCATTGCCAATAAAGCTTTATCAATAAAAAATTTTGCTGTTTTAATTAATATTTTTCACCTCTATCTTCTTATTTTCCATGCCAGATATTTTCTTAAATTTGTTAAAGTTGAATAACTTATGAATTTTCCAGAACTATCCTCCAATATCCACTAGAAAAAGAAAAATCAAGCATTTGAAGACTGTTGAAATGCTTTAAAATGAAGAAACATTCTTCTTTTACTTCTGTAAGATGGAAGAAAAGACTGTTATTTTGTGCTATTTTCCCATATTCTCAGTGGGTTTTGTGGCCTTTTTAACAATATAGATGATTGCCACCATTTCCATATTTCTCTGAGATTCATGCCTTTTCATATTAAAAAAAGGGCACTGTGCCTTTAAGACAATCATCAGTTACACAACGAAAATTTGTTTATACTTCAAAACAAAGATTTGTAATAAACTCTTGTTCTGTCTTCAATTTTTCCACTCTTATGCAAATTACACTGCTGATGTAACAATTTTCTCAATCAGTGAGCTTTCCTGAGATATTTTTGCATCCTTTCCTAACAATTGCAAACAGTTATAATGATACTCATTTACTGAATATAGGGATTAAAGCCTCCTTTATAACCACTCAGCCTTGATTATTTAATTAAGTGTAAGAATTTTCACACATCCTCTAAGAGACTAAGTGTCCAATATAGACTGCCTTGTCCTGGATGCAGTATTTGAATTAGATTTCTACCCTACAGCTTTGGTGACACTTTTGTGATGTATGCAAGCTTTTACAGT